ATATGCATGAAATGCTAGAATAGACAACCTTTTTTGTTTTTTTTTTTTTTTTGTTTTTGGCTAAAGGATTATATTTTTCAAAATCAAATATTTAGTTAACCAAGTTATGTCTTTTATATATATGCTCTATTTATGCTTACTCATTGTTTTAGCGGATTTTATGATATTAATAATAGTCTTCCTATGTATGATGATTGTGGCATTAAATTTAAAGTTTAATGGTGACTCAAACATTTAAAGTCGACAGAAAATACTCAATTTTTTTAGATTCTTTCCTAATAAATAAAATAACATAGAAGCCGAAAGTTTTTTGTGTTGATGTTTATGTAGAATGCATCGTTTTAAACACTTATAAATAAATATGAGCCTCTCTTTTTATGTGAAGCCTTTATAAGTTTTCCTCAAAGTTACTTATGAATCAATCAATTGGTGTCAATTGTCACCTTTTCATCTTATTTAATCATCTACCTCTGGGATAAAGGGAAAAAAAAAACATTAACTTTATGATGTGAGTTCTTGGGCATATATGAGTTTTGGGGCATGTGATTAGTAATCAAACCTTTTGGATCTCAAGTTAAAGAATCAATTGAAGTTCAAATTAACAAGATTGACTCAATTAGGAGGTTACCATTCAATGTTATTTAGTTTTGTAACTAAATTACCTTTTAATTTGCATATATTCTTATCAAGATTGACAATACCATAAATTCTAAATATATATCTTTTAAGCTTTTGAGCTTAACTCTTTAATGTTGGAACATATATTGTCTTTTTCTTTTGGACTTTGGCGTTTTTATTCATACTACTAAATTTAAGTTTGTGTTTAAGAAATAAGTTTTAAACATTAGAGCTTTTAATTTTTGGAGTTTTATGTTTTGCTAATTACATGTTGTTTGGTTGATTCTGTGTTGAGTTGCTTTTGTTACAGGTAATGTGTTATATAAATTTGGCTTTCTAAACTTTTCTCATATTATTTTAAGAGTTTATTTTTAATATTTGATGATATAGTTGTTGTTTGTTCTTAAGTTATGTTTTACATATATACATTTTTCAATTAGATTCTATCTCTTATTATATTGTTGTAAACATCACTTTATTTATTATTATTATTATTATTTTTTCTTTTTTTGGCACATTTCGGTCGACCATTGATAGTCACACTGCGAGCGGCTTTAACAACCATTGCTAATGACTTTGACAACCACCAGCAGTCGCTCTAATAGTCGATAGCTGCCTTAATAATAGGTAGCCAAAATTTCAAAATTTTTGCTCTATTTATAGAGCCACAAGAACGCAGAACAAAAAAAAAATCAGAAAGAAAAGCCTTGCAACAAAAAAAAAAATGAAAAATTAGATTAAAAATAAAAATTTTGGTCAAATCCCAAAATAAAATCTTGGTAAAAAAATCCAAGAAAACAAAAAAAAAAAATCTTTGAAATGGGGTCTTAGCGCAAAAAAAAATAAAAAAAATCATTTTGGTCTAATCTTTCAAGTTATATATACGCAGTTGGAGGTCAAATTTTGAAAAGTAGGTTTAAATTAGTGTTTAAGGGGTTGGAGGGAAGATTTTTTGTGAGTTTGATTTTTTGGGCAATCGATGGACGACAATGATGATCGACGAACGACATGGCAACGACCATCGGGTTTTGGATTTCTAAAGAGACTGAGAGCGTCTAAGAGGAAAAGAAAGAAAGTGGAAGAAAAAAAAATGATTTGGCCTTTAAATAGGCCTTTAAAACGATGTGGTTTTGAGGTAAGATGATATGTGCATTGACTTAGGTCTGACCTAGGGTTTGCGCATTCGACCCGTAACCTAATTTTTTTTCAGGTTAGATTGGTTCTTGAACCATCAAAAGCTAGGTTCAGATCATAGTTGATAGCTCGCCCAGATGAGTGTTGATTGATCTGGTTCAGATAAAATTTTTTTTTTTTTAATTTTGATTTATTTTTTTAATATTATTTTTGTTATTTTAAATTTTATTATTAATGTTTATGCATGTAAAAATATTTACATTTGTTAGAATAAATTTTTGTTGTAACAAATAATTAATCAATAAATAAAAATAAATGATGAATTATATAGTTAAAATTTTTAATAATTTTGTTGGTTTTAAAATAAACCTTGTAAGATAATAATAATTGAAAATAAAAATAGTACAAATAAAAAAATAAAAAATGTAAGAAAAGAAAATTTTTATCTGACGATGAGATTCAAAGGTATTTCGAGTAGTGATATCTACGAAATTTTTAAGTGAGAAAATTGTTTTTAAATACTATTAACGTATTGGAGTATTTATAAAGTGTTTTCAATATAATAAAATTTTTTTGGCTAAAATAGTAAATAAAAAATTAACTAATTTGTTAAAAATAAAATAATGAAGAATGAGGAAAAAAAATATCATCCGAATATGAGATTTTAAAAGTATTTTGAATTGTGATGCTTTATTAAATTTTTAGATGAAGATATTTTTTAAAATATTATAAGTGTATTGAAATATTTATAAAAATTTTCAATATAATAAAATTTTCTTTTTCTTCAATAAAACAAGAAGAATAATAATTCAATAAATAAAGTCAATAAAATTTTTAAAGGAGTAAAATAAAATGTTTGCATCAATATATTAGCATATTGCATTGCATGCACAATATAGATTTTTACAAAAAGTAAATTTAAGCTTATGAGAATGAGATTCTAAGGTATTTTGAAAAGTGATGCTTAAGAAATTTTTATGTGAGAAAGAGTTTTTATAATGTTATCAATGTATTAAAATATTTTAAGAATTATTTTAATAGAAAGGTTCTAATTTATTTTTTTTGAATAAAAATGGAACAATAAATAATAAAAGATATTAAAAAAAAACCAAAATTTCAATAAGAAAAATTAAGGAAATTATTTTTCAAACATTGAAAATAAAATTATTTTTATCAAAATTAATGGATAATACATAATTAATTGGTACTGTTTTAAATAGGTGCTGTGAATGTACTAATTTTTTCTTACAAGTAATTGATTTTTAGACCCAAATTATTTTTCAGATTTTAAAATTATTTTTTTAATAAATTTTAATATTTTATTAAAATGATAAATTTGAATAGGTGGCTAATCTCACATAGTCAAAAAAGATTGATAGCAATTTCTTTTTTTTTGTTTTTTTATTTTTATTTTCAAATTTATCGAGTAGAGAGAAAATCATTATGATAATTGTTATTTTTACACAACACATACACATATACACATATATATGTTCATTATAAATTTTTATTATTGATTTTAGTGTATTAAATTCACAGACTCCACATCATACCTTCACAGAAACAAAAGTTGGGACCGTCTCATTTGAAAGTTTAAGAAAAAAATCATCCTTAGCAAAATGTTCAAATTGCACAATCGTGATAATACTTTTCTTGCCATAAGCTCTAACAGTAACTTGAGGTAAGATCTTACCCTTGTTAAATAAGAATTGATCCTAGGTATGGTTGGAGCAACTTTTCTAATATATAGATATATATATATATATAAGTCAATTATACACGATAAAACAAAAAAAAAAAAAAACACTCAAAAACATGTACACAAAGCTGCTTACATTTTATAATATTATAATTCTTTATCAATAATGCATGTGACATGGTATCTACAATTTATTGTGATAGCATATATATTTATATATAAAAAAGAACAAACAGGATACATGTTTTTAAAATTTAAATCATATATCAATTTGGTTTTTAAATTTGTTGATGGGGTTTTTGGAGGTCTTAATTAGAAGGAAAAAGATTAGGTTGAAAGGAAATATAGCTATGACCTATAGTCAGAAAATACGGTCAGATGACGTTGAGGTTGTTATTCCAAAACACATTTTAACACTCAAGTCAATGCGATGCTTGAGATTGAGTTAAGAAGTAAAGAAGAGGGAAATGATGAAATGTGTGTGAGAAGCTTCATTGGAGGAAAAGTTATAAAGAGTTAGGTCTAGTTCTGTGTTACTTTAAGTATTTGGTTTTCCACCTACCTTTTATGTGAGATCAACAGTAATATTTTAACTGAAACAGTTAATAATTTTAAGTAAGCGTGAACTATATTTAATGATCTCAGATAAATTAGGTGTTGATGAATCAATTTTAACGTGATTGTTTTGACAAGTTATTAATGAAACTTTAGGTGAGTTCCCTTTTTTGGGTAAAGGATGAGCAATCTACTTAAAATAAATGACATGATTGTTTATATGTGCTTCTTCTAGACAATTTAAAAACTCAACTATTTTAATTTTGACCGTTATTTAGATGTAACAAAATTACTTATGATCTTTATATTTTTTATGTTATAATGAAATAATTTTTTAATTAATCTTTTTTAAAAATAAAAAAAATGTATTAGAGTAGTTAACATTGAAAAAGAAAAGAAAAGACAAAAAAAAAGGTAGTAATACTATTTCAACGCAATTTTCTCCTTAAAACTTCCTTTTTGTCAATGGTGACCCAATGTCCATGATCATTGCTCCTCAATTTCTTATTAAAAAATTTAAACAACTTGCAGATAGTACAGATAAAGAGTGATTTTTTTTATATACAATTTGTAAAATTCTTTGATAAAAAAGTTACATATAAAATTTGTGAAATTTTTTATTAAAATTGATCACATAAAAATTAAATTAAAAAATTAAATTGATACATTAAAAATTTTATTATATATGTCAAATGTATAAAATTTATAAAAATTTATAAAAATTTAAAAATTTTGATACATTTTGTAGATAAATAATTTTTTAAAAATATTAATTAAAATTTTTATAATTAAATAAATATAAATTATTGTTTTATTAATTTTAATTAAACATTTCAACAAAAAAAAAAAAACCAAATCTTGTCAACTGAAATGATGCCGCGGAATTAGTGTTAATTTTTTTTTACAACAAGAAGATAAAAAAAAAAGAAAAAAAAAACTTAACAACTAATCTAGAAATGGCAATCCTGCAATAAAGTACAAAATTAAATCTACTTTGATAAACTCTAGCTTGATAAATATTCCATAGATAAACTCAACAAAAAACACAGAGAGAAAGTAAAAGCTCATTTTTGCTAAGAAAAGTGTTCGAAGCATGTCAGGTGGATACCCTCACCACCCTCCGGGCTACGGCTACGGCCCTCCACCGGGTCAGTCCTACACAGCCGCTCCATACACTGCCGGCGCCCCGCCGCCGCCTCAACCCTACGGTGCCCCATACGCCGCTGCACCATACGGAGCACCTTCTGCTCCCTACTCTGTGCCTCCAGGGGAGAAGCCACCAAAGGACAAGCTCCAGGCACACGGAGTCGGAGGCGCTCCTCCAGTTCACGGCGGAAGTTATCCTCCTGCAGGGGGTTACGCTAGCCCATTCGGGGCTCTGTTGCCGTCGGCGTTTCCACCAGGTACAGATCCTAACATTGTGGCTTGCTTTCAAATGGCTGATCGAGATGTAAGTGGGTTTATTGATGACAAAGAATTGCAAGGAGCGCTTTCTTCGTATAATCAAAGCTTCAGTTTGAGAACCGTTCGTTTGCTCATGTATCTCTTCACCAACACTAACACCAGAAAGATCGGTCAGTTTGTTTTTTTTCGTACTTGCATTATTATTTTAAATTAAAGCTTTAATTTCACTGCTTTTCGACCACAATTACAATTGAATTACGAGTGCTGCTAAATTAAGTAATTTTATTTATAAAAATTAAAAAAAAATAAAATGTAAAGGGAAAAGTGGGGAGCGCATTAAGCAGGGCCGTTGAATTATTAGGTTAATTTTACATTGATTGACTAAAATAACCCTCGTATACCATTATGCCACACGTTTTCTAGGATTTGTGCAGTGCAGCAGGGATATTTGGGTCCATTCGAGAGGTGTCATGTTTATTACGCGGGGACATAGAAAAGATATTTTCTCAATCATCTATCCCTTATCTATTTCGACACAATGTATAAAGATGATGTGACATGTTGTAGGGGTTTTTATGTAATTAGGGTTCATTAATTATTTTAATTTTCTTGTTTTTTTTGTTTCTTGGGAGCATTGGATTTGAATCTTTTATGAAAATTTGACCTTAATGCAGGTCCTAAGGAGTTCACTTCAGTGTTCTATAGTCTTCAGAATTGGAGGGTAATTTCCATGAGAATGGTTTTTTTTTTTTTTTTTTTCTATGATTGAATTTATGGGGTTTTATTCAATTACAAGAAAATGGGGGTATGGTGCGTGCAGGCCATCTTTGAGAAATTCGACAGGGACAGGAGTGGTAAAATCGATGCCAATGAACTGAGAGAGGCACTCTTGAGTCTAGGATTTGCAGTCTCCCCGGTTGTTTTGGATTTGCTTGTATCCAAATTTGATAAAACTGGGGGCAAAAACAAGGCCATTGAATATGACAACTTCATTGAGTACGATTTCTGTTTACCATGTTTCACTTAAAAAAATTTGCAGACCATTAATTTCATTGAATTAGTCTCATTCTTCTCTCTTTTTGTTTCTGATGCAGGTGCTGCCTTACAGTTAAAGTAAGCTCTCATTCTGTATTTCCATTCTACTCGATGAGTTTTGGTTTTGTGTTAATGGTTTTAAACAATGTTCTTTGTTTGCGTAGGGACTAACTGAGAAATTCAAGGAGAAGGACACCATGTACAGTGGTAATGCGACTTTTACGTACGAAGCGTTTATGCTCACCGTTCTTCCATTCCTAATTGCATAGGTTAATGGAAAATATAATAATAGTTTTGGTTTGTCTATGATAGCAATAGTATATAATAATAAAGCTTGAAAAAGCGTTTGAATTTGTCTCTTGTATTTTGGAGTCAATGCCAAGTTTTTATGCAGTTTTCACTTGTGATGTTCTATTGTTCCATAGGGCCCATGTGTTGTTACTTTCTGAAAGTTTTGCTCACGCTTGTCGCGGGCCTTTTACTCCTATTGGACTTCTTATTTTCTTATTGTACTTAATACGTGTAAGGCCTTTTGCTCAAGGGAGGCCCTTTGTTTTTCTTTAGCCCATATGTTTGTTATTATCGTTGCTGGAATAGGGAGAGAATGTGCTGATTATCTATAATTATTACATTATAATTAAACAATAACAATTCAAAAATTCAGAATTGTATGAGGTTAATTAAAATTTTATATGGAGTTTATATTTATAAATGGTAAATTTTTATATTTTTTATTATAATAATTGAATAATTATAAAATTATAATAAAAATAATTATAATTGAAATCTTGAAATCAGAAAATCTCATAATGCAAGAAAAAGATGGGAAGAATATAATATTCGATTATACAGTATAATTTTAATTTCTCTCTCTCTCTCTCTTATCGTTTTTTTCTTCTGGTGATCAGAATAGTTGCTATTTAGTATTTACCGGAATTTGTATTCGATTCATATTGATTCTGGAGTTAATATCAGAATATTCAAACCAAGTTTTGTATTAGCAACATAAATGTATGTATCATTTTTTTAATGGATGCGTATATATCATTGGAAGGTTAATACATAGATATCTTTGATAAGCGTATTGTCAGAATTACAGGAATCAAATTCAATAATTTGTTCATTGCGAAAGAATTAAGTATTATTGCTACAATCAAAATATAGTGATTGGGATAGAGAAGGGAGAGAATTAATTTTATTTGGATCATGGTGGAAACGTCTGTCACATATATTTAGCTATGGGACATCAATTATTTGATTCATCAATCTATTTTAAGTACAGACAGCACTCCCTTATATAGTGTTAATACCGTTATATGGGGTTCATCAATCATCAGTTTTCAAGTCTTAATTACCGCTCGTCGGTGGATCATACAGTAAGACAGGTCTTCCATTCAGTGGTTGAGTTGGCCTTGCGTTGTTTCTGTTTTGCTGAAAAGGAAAAAAAAGGAAGAAATCAACAAAGGAAATTGAAGTTTCATAGAGGTCGTAAGGGTAAATGCAGGTATTGAGATTAAAATTTCACCATAAAATTTATTTTTTAAAAGAAATAGATGAACCATTTGAATTAAATCTTATACATAATTTTATATAAAAAAAATTTCAAACTCATAATGAGTAAATAAGAAATTTGACTCAATTTAGAAACACTTACAGGAGGAAGGACATGCTTTAATGCATCAACTTGAGAATGGGAGACCGTCTTGACCTTTATAATTAAGATGATAACAATATATAAGTTAAGAAACATTAATCCAGTAATATATAAGTTGAGAGGCGGTCAACAGGGATATTGAGTAAAAGACCTGTTGGAAGACTTTCCAAACCACACCCTCTGAGCAGGAAGGAGTTGTAAGTGAACCCTTGTATCGATAATAGTTTCTGCCAGGAAACTTGATGCTTTCTGGATTAACAGGCCCCAGTGGTCTGTCTTTGGTTTTAAGAGTTTTTAAGGAGCCAAACAGCTGTTATGAAACCATGCAAGGACAAGAAAAAAACCAACTTAATTAAAGCAATAACTAAAAACCAAACCCAAAGATATTAACTATATAACATGAAAATTATATCAATCAACATAAGAAATAGAAGCTTTCGATTCATTTCGTTAAATCTCATCTTATTATTCATCTCAAGATTTGGATTCGAGAATTTTTATATGGAACCTTAAATTCCATCACTAGGTGTCCCTTTGACTGTAAAATTTAACTGTAACAGTACTTGTCATGAAAACGCTTTCAATTCAAGTGAAGAAGATTCTATATCCAAAAAAAAAAAAAAAACAAAAAACCAAAACAAGAGGTTGACAGACCCTATCAATGAAGGGATCAGGCGAGCCATATCGGTAAAGAATTGCAACAACCGCAGTCTGATTTTGATCGCTCGTATGAACTATGTGAATCTCCAACGGATACCTGTAAACAAAAGTATATGTAAACATTTCTTTTAGAGGAAAAGAGAAACAGAAACGGTGCTTTCCTTTCATTACAAATGAATTGAATTTTTTGAATGGAAAAGGCAATTAGAAAATAACAAGAAAAAATTATACCTAATTCCATTGAGGGTGTGCTCCGCAGGTGAGTGCCAGTGACAGTTATCCACTGTATAAACAGTCCCATTTATAGTAATGCTTCCAGCATTCCCTAACCATACCACCTGAGGAATATCAAAATTTTTTCAACTACTTGTACAAGTAAGGATGGGTTACAAAAAAAAAAAAAAAAAGAAGACAGGAAAAGTGGAAAACAGTCAATGTATATATATATTTTTTACCGCAGCATATTCGGTATTATTCCTCAAAACAGCAGGAGCTGATACGTAGTTCCTTTGCAAATCTCCCAATTCAGAACGAACCTGAACTGCTTCAATATTTATAGGAGATTGCTGTCGTCCAATGCTGCAATTTTTCGATTCTGGTTTGAGTAAGCCCCAACGCGATGGCCCCCTGCCTGATGCTTCATCGTAATTAAATTCATGATCTGTCGCACCCCCCAACCCCAAAATTTAGTAGGAGAAATTTTTTTCTGATTTCATGAATTCTAAATATATAAAATTCTAATATATGTTGTTACAATTAGCTGCTATATTCTATAGCTTATCTTGAATATGAAACACAAATAAAAAGAAAATATATCAGCTTCATAAAATGTCCGAAGTCCAAAATTTTAAAAATCTTTGAATAATCAAAGGCCAATATATAGTTATTGTCAACAAAAGGTAAGAGAAATGAAAATGTGAATTAATACTGGCTTTGCTTTTAAGTGAAAATGTGAATTAATACTGCTTTTGCTTTTACTTTTCCTTTATCCCAATGAACAATAGTATCAGTAACTTTCATATATTAGCCAAAAATGAAATTTATAACTTCATTGTATTTTACTTTAATCTTGTCACTTTTTGTTCGATTACTCAACTTTCTTGTCTTTCAAATTTCTGGCAAGCAAAGTAATCAAGTAGGATAATATATAACAGACAGGCAATGTGATTTCATATAATGGGTTTCTAGCAAGAGAAAAAAAAAGTATGAGAAAAAAGAAAAAAGAAAGACAAGATGTGAAGGAAAATCAAGGCAAGAAAAAAGCATATATATATATGTAAAATGCTTAAAAGTTAGTTAAAAATATATAATAGAAATGATGATGCTACAGTAATGTTATTTAAAAGATAAATAAATAGATAAAAATAAAAGAAAGAAAGCATAAGAGAGAAATAATATATACCCTCAGACTCAGATTGAGAGTAAGCTGAGAGAATGAGAGAAGAAAATAGGAAAAAGCTAAAGGCGAAGGGTGTCTTAAGATTGATATTGCTGTACTTCATGGTTTGGTTTCCTTCCTCTGTCTCAACTCTCAATCCCTCAAATTCCTGACATGGTTCAGCTTCTTTGTCAGAGGGATTTAAAAGGAAGCTGGAAGTGGCGAGTGCAAGAGTACGTGCGACAAGTCTATGCATGGCCCCCTTAATTACTCGCATCATCTAGACTACGCTTACACTATTCCAAAATGGACAACATTTTATGTTTTAGAACTATTTTTTTTGTAAAATTTACTTTGGAGTATTTGATTTTGATGCATTATATATTAGTATTGCGTGTCATCTTCTTGATAGTTTAATTGGTGACATTCATGAATTAAACAAAAGCTGAGGACAATGTCGGTTTTATCATGTCTTGAGAGGAGAAATTTTGGGAGGACATCTTGGGTAGGTCTGCTTGTGAGATGAAGTTGGATTTTGAGGCTTTTCAGCATTTCATCTAGTTTATGAGTTCCTCTCGGCGGATGCTCGGAGAGTGAAGTTTTTCAAGGCAATGAAAATGATTTAGTTTTATTTATTTTTTCTTTTGTGTTAAAAAAAAAAAGAGCAGGGTTAATTTCACGATACAATTTTAAAATTCTCAACTTGAAAAATGAAAATATTAAATTTTTACTTAATTAAGTTGCTTTTTGACTTTAAAATTAAAAATTAATATTTTTATTATACAATCTAAAATCAATTAATTAACCATTCTTTTATATATTTTAAAAAAATTAAAGATAAAAAATGTTATAATGGAAATTAAAGATGGTATATTAGTATATCGGGTGGTCTAGCATGGATTTATATTGAGACTGTGTTTCCAATTACTAACAAACATATATAATTTTCAACTTAATTATTATTTTATATCCTAGCTAGGAAGCGGTAATAATAAACTCCTACAGGGTGACAATTAATCTTGTAGTTAATCTTACGTAAGTATATATAGCAGAGATTAGACAATTACAATAGAACATGTTGTTATTATTTGGTACTTACTTTTTTGGCAAAAAAAAAGTAATTTCCTTGAAAAAGTCAATGCAAAAGTTTCACTATACATAATTATAAAATAGAGCATATATATTTTTTTGATTTGAAATCACTCGAGATTGGACTTTATTACTAATTTCAAGATTCTACATCGGATTACACACTATTATTGATTATTTATAGATTTTACCTTAAGATTAAACAAATTTATTTTATATTTTATGTATATATCTAGTGAGTCTCTGCTTTTTTTTTTTTATTTTTTATCAATTTGATACTCATTTAACTTTGTAAGATAACTTTGCATCACGGCTTGAATTATCTAAATCTCTGCTCAAGTTTTCATCTCACATTTGCTATTTCAGTTAAGCTAAAATGACCGACTTTTTAAGATATAATTCTATATGAACTTTTAATAAAAAATCTTGTCTTGCACTTTCTTTCCAAAATTCTTATAATTTTTTTTCTAATACATGCAATAAGGAAAGATAATAATAGTTTTACCTCCTTAATTTCTTAATTTGGTTTTAATAGTCATGTAGTTTTAATTTTGAATCTCTAAATGTCATGGAATTTTTTGAGTTATAACTTATGCCCTTTTTTTTTTTGTATTTGATATTACCCATATTAATTTATATCACATGATCATTAAAATTAAGAGTTTAATATTTTATTAATAAATCATGTGCAACTTTTCATACGTTGATGACAAGCTTATTGGATATCATGAAGAATTCCTTACTATAGAAGAAAAAAAAAAGAACTTTTCTTTCTTTCCTTTTCTGAACTTAATGAACATTATGTCGTTTGAAATTGTGAATGTACTAACTAGAACTATATTTGTTTCATCTACCAATTTAATTATCTTAGTTGTCTTTCTGCCATTTTGTAACGTTATCATCAAAACCCACAGCGAAATAGTATGTGTCCTTGTCATTATTTATTAATCCACCTTACCCTTTTAAAAGCCTTAATCTTCATTTAAAACCAATCTTTCACATACAGAGGGAAACAACCATAAAAACAATTAAGAACTAACTATCCTTTCCTAATTATTTTAGTACATTTAACAAAAAATTTAAAATGTATGAAATTGATGACTATATATATTTGAAATATTGCTATTTGATAAAGGATTTTTTTCACTTTGATCACTAGTACGTTTAAGAACCTATTGAATAATATCATATAAGTTTTAATATTTAATAATAAGCTATTTTTTATATTAAAAAATATAAATAGTTACTAAATATAATATCGGAGTTGGTGGACCACCTAGATTACTTCCTGAAAATTGTTGTTGCACAAAATTCATAAGAGTATAGAATCGATCATGTAATTACTAAAATTTTGCATGTTCTTGGTCCATTCTAGCATGTTTTTCTTTAATTTTAGCATGCTCATGTTCTCTTTTTGCTTTCATTTGCTGAAAATATTGTTGCAAGTTTGCAACTCCTCTTTCAATATAAAAATGTCTCTCGAAGACTGACTTGCTTAGAATGTAAATTGTTGAGAGCTACGTCCATAGTAGCTGGATGGTGTTGGATCTAATCTAAGGCCTTGGACCCGTCCATGTCTTTCTTTTCTAGCAACTTCTGTGAAAATTCAAATTTTCAATTCTTGCATGTTGATAGAACCATCAGATGCTACTTTAATCTCAATAACTATTTTCTCTTTCACTTTCTCCTGTAAATTAATCAGGTAAAACTATCAAGTTTAATGATTAATTTATAATATATTTAAAATAGTAAATATTTACTTTCTATATAAAACAAATGCAACAAATTATCATAATTTCTTATTTTTTGACATTTAGGTAAGATTTGTATTTGTGTGTGTGGATTAATCGAAAAAGTTCTACAGGTCCAATTTTTTCACCTATCTCTATCTCCTATATAAAAACATATATTATTGTTAACTACATATCAATTGCAACTTATTCATGCATATCAAGCCTGTCAATCAAGTTAAAAAATTCAAATAAGTTTAATCTCATGTATTTAATCTATCTAAATTGTTAAAATAGAAATATAACTGTAAAATTATATTTTTGCCCTTTAACAGCACAAAAATCTTAAACAAATATAAAAAATAAAAGTATTTTAGCCTTTCACAAATATCAATCATGGAAACCAAATTCAATTATTTGGATAAGTTTAGTATCATATCTTGAAGCTATCCAAACTGTTAAAACAAAATAATAACAACATCTTTGTATTTTTGCCTTTTAATGGCAAAAAAAGTCCTAAACAAAGGTAAACAACAACTTTTTCATATATATCAACTGTGAAAATCAAGTTCAATCATTCGAAAAAGTTTAATATCATGTTTTGAAGCTATCTAAACTATAAAAATAGAAAAATAACAGAAAATTGTATTTTTACCTTTAATTCATCAAGGTGAGCTTGATTTTTAGTTTGGTTAACTAAAAATTTAGCTAATTTAATCATCCTTTTTTAAAATTGAGATTTATTTTCAATCAGATGGGATATTCAAATATTATTGAAAAGATTATAGGTCTCTGTTAGACATATCACAAATAACTTTTTTTGCATTGCGTCTTTTTTTTTTTGGACAATTTGATGCTATGTGACCTTCTTCTTCACATATAAAATTTTTGCATTTTTGTTTACTAGAAGTTTTTCCTCTAACAACAAATTTTTTGCCTTTGGTAGCTTTTTTCTTAGGTTTCCATTTTTTCATAAAATATTCTTTATCTATTTCATTTGAAAAAAAATGATTTGATTGTTTTTCACAACCAAATTCAAACTCATTTTTCAAAATTTTAGTGCATTGTTTATCACTAAGTTTGCTTTTGACTGGTTTTGCTGCCTTTTGTTTAAGACATTATTTAATAACTTATTTTTAATATAATTAACTCTATTACCTTAGGGTATTTTTGCAAAAATTTTTCTATTTTTGCTTTTGTAACAAGTGGTATTTCTATCGATCCATGTTTAGAATCGTTAGCTATAGTATCACCACTAAATTTTTCAATATGGCATTTAATCCATGGTTGAAAAGTTTTGAAAAAACTATTTTGATAAATATAATCTTTTTTTATGATTTGTAATTTTTTAAGTTTTTCTTCTGAAATTGTACGAGTTTTTCCCATATAATTTATTAATAAAGTCATTTGTTCTTCAACTTGGTTAACTGAACTTGAAATGGAAGAGGTTTTTGACTTTTTTCCTTGATTAGAAGATGTATTTGTCATAAAAAGAAACTTTATTTCACTATCAGACGTATCTTATTCAGATTCAAAAAATAATTCGTAAAATATTTCTTCATCAGATAAATCTTTTGCAAAACAAATGGTTAAATCTTGTTGTTCAAGAGTTTTAATAACTTTTTTAGCACTTCGTCTGGTTTTTCCATTTTTTGATATTAAGGCTTTTGATAAATCTAAATAAGTTTTTTCTGTAGCAACATTTCTCTTGTCTAGAGATTCAATGTTGGTATTATTAGAACTTTAGGATGAGATATACGTACTGTTTGTACTATTAGATCTTTGAAATCCTAAACAAGAATGTTTATGTGGAGTAGCAAAAGATTGATTGCTAGATAGACTTTCTATATCATCTTTTCGATTAGAAAATGAAGGGATTGAAGAGGGTAGTACCATATCAAGCTTTGAATTAGAACTACTTGCTTCAAGATTTTTAAATATATGTTGTTTCTTAATGCAAAAAATTCTAAATAGATGATTCTGCGATGTGTAGGTCTTTCATCTGAAATATCCTCCAATAACCATCTTGTAGGTATTCAAAGATCTCTTAGATCCATAAATCTGGATTTGATTTCTGAATCAAAAGTTTTAGGTCCAAAAATTTCAATGATTTTTGGATCTATTTGTTTGATAGATGTAGAAGTATTATTTGTTAATTCATAAATAACGGTCCATTGATATAAAGATCATAAGCCATTTCTTTTAAATCAGAATTTTTTGTTTTAATTTTTAGCCTCAAACAATCTTCAATCAAAGGATCATAAATGGATATAAAATAATTTGGTCTTACTTTAAACCAAACAACTCTTGTAATTAAATTAGATTGAATTCCTCCAATTATAAAATTAATAGGGTTTGAAAATCTTTTATCCATTAAAATAGCTAAAATAGGAATGCTTTTTCCTGAAATAAAAAGAGGTTTTATAGTTATCATAATAACTCCAATATGTATATATTTAACCTTGGGGTATTTTTGC